CGACTGTGATGGTGTCATACTAACGCATACCGTTCCCCCACAGCAGACCGTCATTGCGCAGTATTACTGCTCATTTTTGGAGCACAATCTCCGACCAGCTTTGAGAAAAAAACGGCAACACTTTCTGCAGAACGCTCCTCTCATTTTGCATGACAATGCTCGACTGCATGTGGCGCAAGCTGTGACTGATTTGTTCAAGCGATGGGGCTGGGAAGTGCTTTACCATCCACCATACTCCCCAGATCTAAGCCCTTGTGACTATGACTTAATTCCTAAGATGAAGGAACCGCTTCGTGGCACTCACTTCCAAACTGTTCCTGAGATTCTTGCGGCAGTAGACTGGTCCATTCAAAAACTATCAACAAAACAGGCGCTGCTACAGGTATTCTGCGACTTCCACATCGTTGGAAACGGGTTGTACACAATGCTGGCGACTTTATTGAAGCACTGTAAAACATGGTGACATGAATCACTTTTGTATTCCTTGTAAATAAATAGTTGCCACTATTAAAGTTCCAATCCTCGTATAATTCCCATTTGAACAGCCTATTAGCTATTTGTATTAAATATGCACACATAAAAATATTATCTTAGAAATTGGTTACCATATTAATTATCAAAATTTAAGTTATAATACTTTAATTCTAAAATTTAGTATGAAATTTGGGCCTGTTTAAGAAAGATGTTTCTTTATGTCTGGTCTTATTTCACTTAGTTTTAAGCATAAATTAGGATCCACTTTTAATTTTGTTCTGTATTTATTTTTCAAATATAACATAGAAGAAAACTGATTATTCAAACAAATAGGTTGTGCAAAAAGGCAATAAAAATTTAATAGCTTTATTTGAAATGCCTTTAAATTATTTTTTTTTTTTCAGTTCAACCAAATGTTAACACCTGTGTGAAAAAAAAAAAAAAAACCGTAATCACGCGAAAAAACAGCCAAAATTAATGCTGGAAGACTTGCTAATGCACGAAAAAATTAATCTGACCGTTGTGATATGTGAAAAGTTAACTCACATGAAAAATAGAGCGACGGTAAAAAATATATAAGGAAAGTACAAATAAAAAAATAGATTGAAAAAATGCCAATGCATAAAAAGTAAAAATTAAAAATTAAAATGAAGACACAAATTGCAACAATACAATATACAATAATTAAATAGCGGAAAATGGTGAATTAACCCACTCGTACTCTCAATTGGCTTTTCAAGGGAAAAAAACTGATTGTCGAACTAAGTTAAATACCATTACACGTTTCGCCGAAACAGACCACTGAAGCTCTTGTTTAATGCGAAAATTTTTTTTATAAAAGAACATTAGTATTCCCGAATATATCTTTTTCGGAATAAATCCTTTTTTGGAGCTTCACTGCTATATATATATATATATATATAATTCAAAAAAAATTTCTTTACAACTTGTACGCTTGATTTAGTGTTAACTGTCTTCAAAATATTTCATTTTAAAAACTAAAATTTGATGATTTGACATCCATTGTATTTTATGATGGTTTACAAATGATGCAAATGTAATATATTTAAAAATCTAATGCAGATTAGTAAAAGTGATAGTTTAAAATATTAGGGAGCTTAAGTAATAGTAGTAATTGTATGATAATTAAGGTACAAGAGAAAAGATATTTATAAAAATGGCTTAGATTATGAAAATGGAAAATAAAGATCTGTTTTCTCAATATGCATCAGTTGTTCATAGGCATATTGCAGGCATGGCCAAACTGCAGCTCGTGAGCCGCATGCGACTCTCCAATATGTTAGCTGCAGCTCACAAGCCGCTTGCGTCCCTTTGCTCTTTTATGTGCAATTTTTTTGGAACAAACAATAGTTTAATTTTTGAAATATAATTAGATTTGAAATAGATATCATACAATGTTCCATTTCTTTATTAATCATTAGTTTAATTTCCTAAATTATATTATGTATGTAATAATTTAATCAGTTTCAAACTGTGGGATGTGCATTTATTGTCAGAGTAACTAACAAAATTGTAAATAATTCCATTACTGCCAATTACTATCATGGCAGTTTTCCTTTTAAAGCAGGTAATGGCCACTGGGACTGCACAAAACACATAAATTCAAAGGAAATTTAAAATGTAAGGCTCTCTAATTTTTTTTTTTTTTTTTTTTTTTTTTACCTAATGTTTTGCAAGATCTTGTAGAATGCTACTTTTACTAAGTTCTTGAATGGCTTGGGTAACTGCTAAAGAAACTTTTCAGGGAAGAAAATAGCTGTCCATGTAGGTCTTCTTTCAGTTTGGAGAAGTATTTGAAATTTGGGGGAATTTATGGTTGGTGACGTAAGTCTTCCTGCTTCTACTTGGAGACTATTCACAACTTTTTCACGTACGGGTGGTTTTCTAAATTAATTCCTCAGTCCTAAACAGTTCAGGTCATTTTTATGCAATTTTTTTGACAATCTTCATAGCCACTCACAGTAATATTCACGGATAATTCTTTGCAGTGATCACTATTTAATTCATCAATTTTTTAAGCATGTTTGAATTTTGAGTCGCGAGGAAAAGGCGACTCAATTAATTATGCTGAATTTAATTATTTTAATTATGCTGAATGTCCTTCTTCTTGTTTAAGCCATGCTTAAAAGTTTCTTGGGATCATTAGTTAATTTTAGAGCAGGAAGTCAGTTTCTCTGTAGAGAATTTCAGAATAATGGAAACACGGGGAATTTCAGAATAATGTTAGTAACATCAGCATCCGTTATACAACACAGATTAAACTTTCAAAAATGTGTCTGAAAATATCCATGATTTGTAAAATTTTGATTCAGATGTCTGTCTGAAATGCATGAAGCAGATGCAAGTACGAAATATGAGAACCAGATGCAAGTATGAAATGAATAATTAATTCTCTAACATTCATTTGACTATCTATCAAAAATCTCACTACTCACTAAAATCAATATGCTATTAAAAATGGCGGGAGAGGGGGGAATTCATTGTGGGCTAAAACACACAAATACTCCATCAGTATCGGTTGTTTAGTAAAATTTCTGGATCAGATTTATTAAAGAAGCATCTCACTTTCACAACATTGCAGAGTGGCTGAAAGAGAGGCATTGTTTATAACTAAGCACTGGTAAACAGAATGGAGGAAAACATTCATGTGATTTGGCTTCAAATCACCAGAAAGTCCATATATCATGCCAACAGACAGGTAAGCGTACCTTAAACAAAATTATGACATGTGTTGCTTAAGCTCTCACAAATTTGATCAAATCACCGGTCTTACAAATTTGATCAAGCTTTCACAGTTCAAGTCTTTCAAATTTGATATGTCACAGGCACTAAAAACTTTTGACAATTCAAATGGAGATAATTTAGCATAGATTTGCAAATGGATGATTTCACATGCATACTTGTATTCACTGAATAAGTCGCGTTTCATTTATGTGGCAAAGTCTGCAGGTATAATTTGATATATGGGCCACTAAAAATCCCCCTGTAAGACTGGAACAAGTAGTATATGATTCTTAAAAAGAAAAAAGAAAAAAGAAAAAAAAAAGTTCTGTGCTTCAAGCTAAATAACGTGGATTTAGGCTTTTTTTTTTTTTTTTTTCCCTTTTCTTTCTTTTTTAAAAACCAAGATATTTTCTTCTGATTTCAGTTAACTTTCGTGAAATTAAAACAACAATTATAAATGCAGGGATATAAAGGAAACCAGAAGAGAATGCTTGGTTTTCAGCTTGAAATTAGAACACTCAGCTGCAATGTACAGCAATCAAATTTATACTTTCTTGGGATGCACATTTTTAAACACAAAGCATGAATAATAAGATTTGTTTATTTATATTTATATGTAAACATATTAAATAAAAATCTACAAAATTGTCATTAATTTCTTCAAAAATTTCTTTCTATTCAAAAACCTCTATTTGCTTGTTTCTTAAGCTACAGAAATATGGGTTTTCGGCTTTTTGCAAATCCAGCCACGACTCTCAAACGTACATGATACCTACAATGCTGCTCCTATTGTCATAAAGTTTTGCCACCCCTGGTATATTGCATGTATTTGTTATATGGCAATATAAATTAGCTGTGCAGTTGCATGCAGCATGCGATAGAAAGGATAGTCGCAACTTTACAGGGTGACAGAACATGGCATTGTACAGTGTATGGTAGGCAGCCAAATGGTTTGCCACAAGAGTGCATCAGTACTTATGCTGTTCATTTATAGTGAATGTGATGCATGTGATTGTTCATTTGAACAATTTTTGTACATATAAAATATTTCTTATATATATCCAAAATTAAACTTTTTAATTTAAAAATTTGACTTTTTGTTATCTCATCATTTTATCATATCATTTACTTGATTTATTTCTTCATGCTTACTATGTTTGAACATTCACATTACAAATTCCACCACACACTGCATTATAAAAATTATTATATTTGTTATATTCTGTTATCTCTTTAAAGTTATTATTCTTTCTTTTTTATCCTCTATTATCTTTACTTGAAAATGAAATGAGCAAATTTAACCAAATTGCTTGTGTTTGAAAGTTTTTATAATTTACTCAGAGTGTTTTTAATAGATTTATTATTGAACACAAAAGTAATGATCTGCAGCTTCTGTTCTTTTTCTTTCAAAAATAATAAATATCATCAGGTAGAAGGAAATTTAAATTGTAAGTTTTTATTTCAAAAATACATAGTTTTAGGTTTTTGATTTTACTACGTGATGCATTGTATCATTTAAATCTACAGAATACTTATATGTGTTGAAAGGGAGCCTTCGTTGTTATGGGAACATTTAATATGAATGAGCTGTGATTAAGAATCATACAAAGTATTTTATCAGTTTATTGCTGTATTAAATTTTGAACGCAAATCTTGTTATCTGAAAAATGTTTCCATTTGAAGAAAATTCTGTTAAATTGTTTGGTCCAAGTATTATGTATCGAATTGTGGTTTTATTTTAATAAAATTTCTGTCTAAAATCCTGCTTTTTTCTTTTGCAGGTGAGTTTAATTCATATGAAATGGGTGAAGAAATTTCATTTCCTTTTCCATTCCCCCCGTATGACGTTCAAAAAGAATTTATGAAAGAATTATACTCAGTTTTGCAAAATAAAAAAGTTGGAATATTTGAAAGTCCTACAGGTACAGGCAAATCGTTGAGCATTATATGTGGTGCTTTAAAATGGTTAAAAGATTTTCAAGAAAATAAAAAAGCAGAACTTCAGAATATATTAAAGGAAAACTGTGAAGATACTGAAGATGACTGGTTTAACAATTTCTTAAAGAAACAGGAGAAAGCTTTTAAAGTGGAAGATGCTAAAAAAGAATTAAAAATTTTAAATGAATATGAAGAACGTATTAATGATTTAAGATTAAAATTTAAAACCAAGAAAGCCTCTTTTGTGCTTGATACTCACAACTCAAAGCGAAGAAAGTATGAGAATACTGCGGAGGATAATAAAATCATAGATGAGGATTTGTTATTAGATGTTCTTCAAGATGAAGATGAAAAAGATGACTGTAAAGAGGAAAAAACTCATGTTTTGAAAATATATTATTCCAGTCGGACACATTCACAATTAGCACAATTTTTAGGTGAAATCAAACGAAGTCCATACCGTGACTTAATAACAGTAACTGCTTTAGGATCTCGGGCCAATTACTGTATTAATGAAGCAGTATCTAAACTTAAGAATTTAAGTTTGATTAACGACCAGTGTGTTGAATTGCAGCGAAAGAAAGCAACTTCAAAAAAGTGTTGTCCATTTATCAAAAATCTTTCAGACATGCAGGATAGTATTTTGTCATCTGTAAAAGATATTGAAGAAATAGTACATATGGGAAAAGAGTTGCTGTCTTGCCCTTATTATGCATCTCGAAATGTTATACCTGATGTTGAACTCGTTGTTTTGCCATATAACATACTTATGCACAAAGCTACCCGAGATGCTTATGGAATTGTGTTGAAAAATAATGTTCTTATTATTGATGAAGCACACAATTTGGTGGAAGCTATCAATGGGATGTACAGTGCTGAAATTACTGGATTATGTTTATTACAATCCATTTGGCAAATTGATGCATATTTTAAGCAGTATAATACTAGACTTTCACAGAAGAATGTAAGGTTTACTAAATTATTAATTTCTGTTTTGAACTCTTTCCTTGGTTATGTTAAATCAAGCAACTCTATTAGCAACTCAGATAAATCAAGCAGCTGTATTAGCAATTTGGATAAATCAAGCAGCTCTATTAGCAATTCAGATTCCAGAATGATGTCTTGCTATGAATTCATTAGTTCCTGTGGAGTCAGCCATGTCAATTTTTTTGAGCTAGTGAAATTCTGTGAAGATAGTCTTATAGGGAACAAGTTGCATCGTTTTACTTCTGCAAGAGTTGCTAAAGGAATTAGCCCAATGGATGATCAGAACAAGAAAACTGAGTTACCGGAAATATCTCCAACAACTGCGTATCTTTCACAGCTTAAAGAAAAGAAAAGTAGTGTAGCAAAGGAAGCCATTGTTGAAAACAAACATGAGTATAAAGAACAATATAAGCCATCTGCATTTTTTACATTTATTCACTTTCTCAAAACTCTTACTTTTCCAACAGAATATGGACGAGTTCTTTTTAATAAAGCATCTACTGTACAAAAGTCATCTTTAAAATTTCTCCATCTTAATCCAGCGGCTCATTTTCAAGAAATTATTCAAGAGGCTAGGTCTGTAGTTGTTGCTGGTGGAACTATGCAACCCATTTCAGAATTTGTTGATCAACTTTTCATGCCTGCCGGTGTGCCAAAAGAGAGGATTTCTTTTTTCTCATGTGGACATGTGATACCTTCTGAAAATCTGTTAGCCATAGGCATAGAAACTGGTCCATGTGGAAGCATGCTTGACTTCACATTTAAGAGTAGACAGTTACCTCAAACTGTCAAAGAAGTTGGGAGTGTCCTTTTAAATATCTGCAATTCTGTTCAGGGGGGAATTGTATGTTTTCTTCCTTCATACAATTATGAAGAGTTTATATATAAGGAGCTAAAAAAGTCTAAAATACTGGATTCCATTGCAAAACGGAAGAAGATATTTCGTGAGCCAAAGTTTAGCAGTGATGTTGACAGAATTTTATCCGATTATGCCAAAAGCATTTCTTTGGCATGTTCTTCAAATAGTGGGTCATCCACTTGTACTGGATCCTTACTTTTTAGCATTGTTGGAGGCAAAATGAGTGAAGGCATAAATTTTTCTGATGATCTAGGCAGGTGTGTGATTATGGTAGGTTTACCATATCCTAATAAATTCTCTGTTGAACTGAAAGAGAAAATGTCGTATTTGAATCAGAAAGGTGTTTCATTAAATATTAAAAATGCTGGAGATATATACTATAATAATTTATGTATGAAAGCTGTGAATCAATCAATTGGACGTGCAATACGTCATAAGAATGACTATGCTGCAATAGTTTTGCTAGATTATCGGTATAATACTTCAGTTGTAAAAGATTCTCTTCCATCCTGGATATCAAAAAGTTTCACTTTTCATCAAAAGTTTGGTCCTGCTTTTTTTGCTTTGAGAAAATTTTTTGCAGTTCAAAATAATACCACTGTTAAAAAGACATAGTATCACCATAGTAAAAGCTAATTCAGAGACTAAAAATATACATTTTTTAAAGTTCCTCTATGTATATGAATCTGCTATTCTTACTGATATAAAGTTGTGTTCATTGTGATATATTTCTATTGATTTTGTATATTTACGTACTGTATTATAGAATTGGTTTTAAGCATCTCATTTTTGATGTGCTGTTCATATATTTACATTAATATTTTTTACATATTTTTATATTTTAATACAAAAATAAAATAATGAAAATAAAAAGTATAAATACAACTTTATTGTTTTTAACCCTTTGACTGGTGGTCCTTTTTATCTCCTAGATGAAAGCTGCAAAATTTCATTTAAAATACATACAATTACACCTTTAGTTTTCTAAATATATAACAGATAGCAGCACTAGTATTCATTCATGGAAATAATGTAGAAAAAATTTTATGCAGGTCTAATTTTGGAGCAGTTTCTTTTTCTTAATATCTTATTCAATTTAAATCATCTGAACAACAACTTTTAGTATTAGAATGAATATTTTTATCTGGAAGTTTCATTTTCTAATAAAAATTATTATAGGAATTCATATATGTAATGATTTGGAATGTAGAGTCGAAGCCTGGAACTCTTAACAGCTTATGATATCTGTCATGACTGTGGTTAAGCTGTACAAATGAAGGTAACAAAACTGAATTTGGACAAATCGCCAGTCTTTATTTTCACACATATCCAATTACTTGGGCAGACACTTATTCAATCATAATTAAATATGATAAATTTCTCTGTACATTAGTTTTTAACATAAAATGATGCTGGCATTTTTAAAGAAGCGAAGCAGGGAGATATTAAAAATGTAGAAGCTAGCAGAATAATGACGTAATTAGCTTGCCAGAGGTATTTATACCAAAGTAGGCGCGATTCTAGAGACAAGTTATGATTGGTTAGTATTAGTTTAGTTGGCCTTTTCCTGTAGCGTTATATAACATAGAAAGATCTCAAATTTGGGAGAATAGATGAATTTAGGAGAAGAGCACCAAATATAGAGTCGTTAATTTTGAGGTCGCCAATTTTTTTTAAAGCAGCTATCATATTTTCTTATATCTTAAATATGTATTAATTAAAGATGGTTGAAATTAAAAGATGGTACTAAAATTAAATGTCCCACCGCGCATGTAGGAAATGATGTTACTAGGTGGCAGTACTATTCAAATTTTTTTTAAATTCAAGTATCATGTTCATTTCATATATAGACAATGCAAATTTATATTTTTTTAATAAATTGCAGTAATGTTAAAACTTGAAAGAAATGAAAATATAACCCTGTAACATGAAATGTCATTCAATACTCAATGGATATGTGATTTGTGATTTACCATAGAAAAATAAGTGAAATGCAAATAAACGTGACAGCCTTCTAAATATCCTCCTTTTTAAACCTGTATCAAATAAAGTACAAGAGCGAAAATCTTCTCTGTTTCAAATCTATTATGAAATCATTAAAAAATATCTAAAAAGTTGTGCAGGCAGCAAATTTCTTTAAAATTATGTAATTTTAAAAAATATTTTGCGAATATGATCGCAAATTAATTATAAACGTCTTTTATATTTTGCATTTTTATTTGGTTGCAAAACTTCCACTTTATAAGCATGTTTGGAGAATTTACACTCAGACAAAGGTGCCATTCTATTGCTGTAGATCAGGGTTAACTTTTTCATTCATGATCCCCCGGACCCAATAATATTTATAAAAATTTTTTGGGACCCCATAAGTATTGCACGAATCCAACACATGCGGGAATGAAACTGTCAATTTTTTCACTTGTACTTTAATATACTATTGCAGTTTTAGGTCATTAACTTTAATTTCTAATTTTAAGACATAGAACAATGTGAACATTTTAAATAAGTAACAGACAAAATGACAGCGTCATGTGCAAAGCAAGGAATAATATTGTATGTATATTGAATGTATTATAAATAGAATGCGTCGAAACGTTTTTGTTTTTTCTTTGTCTGCATTGTCTTATCTTTATCTATTTTCAGATACATTGTGCTACTAATAATAAAATATTTGGTAATTGTAAAATAATTATAATAAGTTAAAGAAATATCAACACTGCTTAAATTTTTGGCGACCCCATGCTGCAGATTGCGACCAAAAATTTAAGAAACCCTGCTCTAGATGCATGGTGGAACAAGTGGCTTAATTAATTACTTAAAGATTTACCTCTCTCTCTTTTTTTTTTTTTTTTTTTTTTGCATGGAATAACATTGTATTAGGGACTAATTATCAATGTGTAAATTTATTTTTTCCAAAAAAATCTTTTTTTATACACCAAAACTTAAAGCTTTAAATCGCACATTAAAACAGTTCTCTTCAGAATTTGCCAAAATAAGTTAATTTTTTTAAAACTAAAGTTTATGCCATAGGGAGTTTTTTTTTTAAATTGGTTATTGAAATTTATACAGGCCTAAACTGTTGAATCACAGTATTGAGAAAGAAATTCTGTAAAATTATGCAAACAGCAAATTCTGAACACCCTCTACTCAAGCTGCTGATGAAGTTAAGCTGCTGATTGGGAAGCAGTACAAAAGAGAAAATTTGTCTGTGCTTAAATGTGTTTTTAGAACTGTGGTAACTGTTTAGAAAGGAAAAAGGAGTGCTTTTATTGTCTATTATGCTTTTATTATGTATTTATTTATCATCTTCAATTTTCTCTATCAGTTACTGATTGGTCAAAAAAATCAAAATTGTTGGTTTTATATCTATATGTATTTTGAAATATTCTTGTTCATCTTTCTTAAGTCAACTTGTTTCTGTTCTGTATATTATAATTTTAAACAATAATTAAACATATATGTATACATATAGATAGATTTTTCTATTTCTGTCTCTCTCTCTCTTTATATATATATACAGAGAGAGATACTAATAATAGAAATATGTTGATATTCTAATTTAAAATAGCATTACAAAGAATTTAAAAACGTAGATTTCATAATTTGTGCTCTTCACATGAAAATAAAAATCTTTTAATGTTAAATTCATGAATATTATCCATTCAAAAAGTGTTTAATGATATGCATGCACAAATCTGTTAGCTAAAAATATTCAAAAGGAACTACCTTAAATTTAGTGCAAAAACAATTACAGTATGTATATATATATATATATATATATGCTGATCATTTCTTAATACTTAACAAGACTGAGAGTTTGAAGATAATTTTGATCATTATAAATTGTTAGGTTAAATTAAGTGTTGTTATTAAGTTTCAGTCCATTTGAAGTAAAGAAATGATGCACTTGCATTTCTGATGTGCATAATACTAATTTGGATTTTATAAATGAAATCAAATTAATTTAATTAACCTTTTAGCACTTGTGTCTAAGTGTGATTTTAAAATTGTACTGCTAAAATTACACATAAAAAATACTTTTCGGGCACTTGCTAAACATCTGCATAAACTTGGTAAGACTGCTAATCTCTCCCTTCAAAAAAAGAAATTCAAATTTGAATTATTTTCAATTAAAAATGAGTATTCTGGACTGTTTTCCTTGAAATAGGAGGTTTATTTAAGGAGGTTAACTGTACATAAATTTCATATAAGTTAATTTTGCATGTAATTTACCACTTTTGTTCATATTTAATGTATGTTTTCTCCTAGCATTGATATATCACTATTTACTATTCCTATACAGTCAAATATTATTTATTGTTGCTATGTTTATTCTCCAAAATTTTCAGTTTGATTAGGATCTAACTTTTTGATTTAGAATCCGTTACATTAATTATTTCTCTATTGCTTCTCTTAGAAACCACCACTTTAATTTTTTAGAGCCATTTCCTTATTTAAAAAAAAAAAAAAAAAAAAAAAAATTCATAACCACCTAATTGCATTCTGAATGGAATTAAAGGTTCACAGAATACAAGATTCATAATATGTAATGTTCTACATATGTTATACAATACTAATAAAACAATTTTATTAAATGAAATATTTACATTTTCCGAGGACTTTATTTTAAATCCATCCATACAACTAGCATTTTGATAATTTTTTTTGTTACTGTAACAATCATTTGAAATAAAAATTGCAATAATTCTTTTAGTTAAATTTAAAAAACTTTTTTAATAGGCATAAATTTAAATTATTTTTGATTTTGCTATTGGATCAAACTATTAATATTTAAATATTTTTAGAATTTTTAATACACTTATACTCCTACACATGTGCAAACATCTGCAATCTCTTTTATAATTTACTTTTTAATATTTTTTGCTTTCAGGTTTTTTGTTTTATACCTTTTTTTTATTGGTGTCAGACAAACACACATTTGTGCCTGCATATTTATGAATTGTAGTCTACACAACAGCATTCAGTTGGAGTTGGTTTATAATTTCTTTAGAATGTCTAAATCAGTACAAAATTGCTTCACTTTTCCTATCCATATTAAAAAATAATCATCTTTGTCGGTTTACTCTATTTTATGCATAGTATTCTTTATAAATGTGTTTAAGAACTGCAAAATAAAGTGCAGGTTATATAGTACCTTCTTGGATTCTTGAATAAAAGCGTGTTTAACTATCATGTATTCAATTAATCATCTAATTATAGTCATAGCATGGTGCATTTAATAGTTATGTATTTATTATCTGTCAAGGCCTTCTGATCTGAATGGATTTTGAAACATACACCTACTTCCGTGTTTTAATCTGGTTACTTTGAACATAAAATTTCCACTATATGTTTTAAGTTTGAATTCTTTTGGCATTTTTAAATATTGTAGGGAAAAGCTTTTCTGCTTACATTCATACATTCTCACCATCACGTGAATCAGATTACTTTTCTTATTCTATTAAATATTTCTTTTTCTGTGGGATGGCTACTGCTTTGGACTCGTATTAAAAGTTACTGTAATCATAATTTAGTAATTGAAAAAGGTTGTGAACAAATAATACAATTTGAGAATGTTACAATATAATTAATAGTCATGTGGAAAAATAGCATGATAATCTAACGATATATCTTTCTAATCTTGAAATGATATGTGGAAGACTAGTAGGAAAAGAATTCGAGTTTTTCATGTAGTTGCAAATAGTATTTCCAAAAGATTTTATGAAATGCTGTTGCACTCATTTGCACAGTTATTGCCATGTATTCAGAGGAGTTTTCGTTATCTATCTGTGCGAAATTGTTTCAAAGAAATGTTTAAAATTTTTATTATTATTATAATCATTTCTAATTTTTTTTTATGATTTCTAAATTTCATCATTAATGGCT